AGAGGAAGGAAAAGGGTGTAGGGTTCCGGCCTAACCAGGGCAGAAAGTCCTAGAGTCAAGCTTGCTGTGGAAGCCCATTCTGAACGAGCAGGGGCTGTGAAGGTGAGATATGGTAAAAGAGCAGCCCTGGGAATGACGCCCCTGCAAAAAATAAGGACCATCCCAAACCACGTCTGGTCCTAGCTCATGATGATGAAAGTCTGGGGGGCATTTAAGTGATTATCTCTCCTCATGATTTGCTTCATGAATCTGTAGCCCCCAAATGTGTATCAGAGAGAAGAACAGGGCAGGAGTGGGTCTGGTGGGAAGGAAAACGCTAGGAGCAGAAATCGGGGACTGACAATACAGAGAGGGATAACCCCTGCAAGGCTGATGGGGTCGACGCTCCTCTTCCCAGTTTTCTCTATACTGCCAAAACGACAGCTGCCACACAGCACCTGACAGCAGGTGCTGTAGCTCAAATTAGCCTGACTCAGTCGACTCCAGAAGGCTTCTATCAAGTCCCATCCCCTCCTAAGCGCTGGCTGTCAACCCGGCTCTCTTAGAAAGGGCACATGGGTGACAAGCGTCGTAGATAAAACTGCTAACCTCAGCCCTCAAGAAGCTTATCATCAGTTCACCAACCGACCTCACCCTGTCCTTCCCAATTACCCTTCTGGAATCCACCCCTGGCCTCCATCGCAGGATCTCAGAACTGTCTCTCATCTCCAAAGAACCAACTGAATTTCTCAGTAATGGCCAAAAATGGAAATGTCCTTATCATGCTTCACTAAAAACACAAGCAAGCAAACCACAAAAGGGGTTGTAAATTAAAAATTCAACAGAAAAAGCTTCCATTTATTCTTCCATTCATTCATTGATTTTAACGGAATGCCTACTGTGGACCAGGCGCCTTGCTAGGTGCTGGGGACTCCCAGCAGGGAACAAGACAGACATAGCACCACTCCTCAGGGACATAAAAGAGGACAGGGTCCCTAAAGGAAAAGGCTCCATTTCAAATAACCCCACCCCTGTTAGCTCCAAGACGCAGGAACACAAGGAGCACCTTCGAGGACAGGTCTGAGCGAGATGACAGTCACAGTAACTTAAGGCCACCTAACTAAAAAGTCTGGGAAGAACAGTGGGGGAGGTGTACTGGAGGAAATGCCTTCACGCTTGCCAACTGAATGTTCTCGGGCAGAAAGCAGCTCTTTCTCTAATAAAACTGAAAAATGAAGCCTGTAAAAAAAAAAAAAAAAATCAGAGGCGGCAGGGACACCTTCCTCTGGGCCCAATTCCCAGCCCCCCAAGAAAGGGACACTTTGGGGTCTTTTCTGCTTCAGAGGTCACTGGACAAGGCTGTAGTCTCAGCCGGCTGTTCAGGCAAATGCACCAGCAGCCTCTGCCACAAACAAGTGAAAAAGTCAGAAATAAGTCAAAAGTCAGAGATAAGAGCCTGTGACAGGACGCTGAAAACCTTCAGCAGGGGATCTTCGGAAAAAATTCAGCCTAGCCCTTGGTGTTGCAAAACACAAGAAGCCAAAGAAGGTCCGCACAGACTGTCCCACAGCAAAGGACAGCGATGATACCAATTATTTCTGCCCTCGTCAAGAGAGCTTGTCATCCCTCTACAGAACAATTATCTATAGGTGCGTAATAGTCAAAAGCTAAATTCTTCCCCCAAATCAGCACGGAGAAAGTGCTGCTCTCAGCAATTTGCCATCATTTCATTACATTAGATTAATTTTTAAATGTGTTAACCTAACAATTATGCCAACTACCATGTAATTAATATTCCGACTGACTTTACAAAAATTACAAAATCCCCTAAAGAAAATAATTAGTCATTAAGCATGAACGAGACTTTTCTATGGCCAATAGCACATAAAACAGAAAGTTCATCACATAATGGGTGGTATCAAAGCCTTTCCCACACTTCCTTCAATTCTTAGCCAACAGTGCGTAAAGCTGACATTGGCAAGTTACCCCAAACTTCACTTAACATATTAATGCACTTACTGGTTTAAACTCTTTGAGGGTAAAATGATGAATGATGAAAGCTTTAGCAATTAAAAAGCTCTTTTCATTTGTAAGAGAGGCAAAATAAACACATCTAATTGCTTGCTGCTTCCATATCCCCAGCTGGAAATTAGAATACTGGCTTATTTCTTGGGGCTACGTCTTGAGTTTATTAAAGAAGTGTACATAAGGCATCCTCATCATTGTTTCCCTCTTTCCTTTCAAGGTTTTTATGTATTCTTGCAATCGACCTTAAATCCTTTCTAGAGTAAGGTAGGGTATAAATAAGTCATAGTCAAACAGGACATTATCTATCATAATGGAAATAAAAAACATGTTTTCCCCGCAGCCCATCTTTGAAAAATTGGCAGGGGCCTCCTAGCCCCAGAACAGAGCTGCGAGCCCCTGCATGACCTCAGCAGGAAGGAATGCAGAAAGTGATTAGTGGTGTCTGCCCTGGACAAGAGCAATAGTTTGGGGGCCCACGTACCACACACTTGTCATCTCCATCTTTCAATAAACCATTACAAATTAGCAAAATGCCTACGGATTCATGAATAAAAGATAACGCACGAATTGCTTCCAGGATGAATGTGGAAGGGAAAAAAATGTTTTCTATAGTCAAAAACCTTAAGCCAAAATGGATTAAAGCATCAAGTCTGGAGGAGAGAACACTGAGCTAAGTCAGGAAATGCAAATTCTAGTCTAACTGTGAAGCCACGGGCAGGTCAGTTCACCGGGCCTCAGTCTGCTCCACTATGAAAGAAGGCCTAAACTAAACATCCCTTAATCATTCTCTGTGTTTCTACTGATCAGGGGTACAAGCAGCCCCCAAAACCCCCTCTGCCGGGCCACTAAGGAGCTGATGAACAAGCAGCTACTGTACAGGAGGAGCTCCCAGGCCAGGGACGTGACTTAAACCCCAGCCACCCCCCCAACCGCAGAGCTTTCACACTGCTCTTACAGGACTTACAAACTACTTAATCTGCAGCATCTCCACGACTAGAAGTTCCACAGAACACACTATTTCTTTTCCTTAATACAACCTCTTTTTCACCTTAGAGCAAGGGTAAGAGTCAGGAGCAGGAAACTGGATTTTAATACACTAACTATTAAATTCGGCGAACAAGTAAACTACCTTCATTCAACCTGAAACCAGTCACTTCCACTAGGAGTCCCGGGTCACTCATGGCTTCTCAGTTGGCCTAAGTCTTCCCTCCATTGAAAAGTCTCCGTAGCTCTAGGCTGTTCCAAAAACACCACCACCCATGTGATACACCAACACAGTTTCTGTGTCCAAACACCAAAAAGCAAGACTTTCTACCAGGAGTCCAACCAGAAGGAAGTCACACCATGTACCTAATGACCAGATCCCACCCAATCCCTAGGTAAACTCAGCTAAGGATGACTGACAGCGTCCCTGGGAAAACAAGGAGGCTCCGACAGGACAGCCTGACAGAGCAGTGCTATCTGCGTAGGGCTGGAAGAATCTCTGTGACAAAGACATAATTTTTATCTGCCCTGCATCCCCGCCTTTAGGAAACTGCCTCTCCAGCTCCCAGGAGCCCCACTTCCTGTGCCTCAGGTGATCCGCATCACCCAATTAGAGGATCCCAGCGCTGGATTCGATGAACTGTTTACTTAGATAGGGGCCACCTACCAAGCAGGCCTAAAATCCTTTTTCAGGATCTGGCACCACACCAGGAGATCACGTGGTGTGAGAGCGATGCAAATTCACAACCGCTGGGCCCTCTTTCCCACCACTTACAGACATCAGGCCAACCCAGGAAAACAGACCTACAGAGAACAGGAGAGCGACAGATCCCCGTACCAACTGGGCACCCTGATGCTGAAGACCAAACTGGGTTTTCTGCCAACGGAAGCCCAGAGTTTGAGGGACAACCCTTACAGCTGAGTGTCTGTATCAGAGGTTCAATCACCTCTCCCTGCCTCTCAGACTTAGCTTCCAGGGTCCCACTTCAAACCAAAATATACTAAATATCACCAAGAAACTTAAAGATAAAAATCTGCACACCAGAAAAACTCTCAATGCTCGTCTCTCATCCAAAACCGGGGGTGGGGGGTGGGCAGGAGGACCACAGAAAAGAGGGAAAAGACAATGGATGACGGGAGGGCCATAGCAATTCAGAACCAGTAACTGTGAGAACAATGGTCTCCAGAGAAGTAGCACAGTCTAATGAAAGAAGTTTCCCAAGTCATTCCAAACATACATTCTAGCTCTTTATCAGCAGGAAAAAAAATACACAACAACTCGCAGCACCCAAATAAAAGGAGCTTGTGAGTAAACAAACTAGCTGTTTCCAGGCTTATGAGCCTGTTAACGGCTATTTTTAGACTAGAGCTTAGTTTTCCTATTACAGCTGTCCCAGGGTCTACGCCACAGGGCTGCTTGCTGAAGGAAACCACGAATAGCAGATTTCACGTCTCCCCCGATGTAGTTAGAGCGGAGAGCAACCAAACAGACGGCGCTCTCACGTCTTCCAGGGAGGACAGGGGAAGATAGCACGAGCAACACAAACAGTGTGAGTGGTTGAACATTCGGACCACCAGTCCTTAACCTTCTAGGGGTTATGGACTCCTCTGAATCTGACAAAAGCTAGGAAGGCTGCCCCAGGAAAAACAAAATGCACATACCACAACGTTTTACACAGGAATTCAAGGGGTTCATAAAAGCTGCTCCCTATACCCAGTCTCCAGGTATAGAGTCCTAACCACACCTGATTTAGGACTTTTTAAACAAATTAATTACCTGAGCATCATGACTAATCCCCAAAGACTTCAAAGGACTACAGAATAGCTCATAAAGAAATTATACAACTTCCACCTCTGTAATCGCATCGAGAACAAAATCTGAATTTTGAATCAAGAACGACGACGACAAAAAGAAACAAAAACTTACACCCTCCCCTTCTGCATTTATGAAATGTTAAGAAAACTTGGTTTTTTCTGTATCCGCTCCATTTCTGACATATCTCCCTTACCTTGTTTGACCATTTATACGCTTGCAGGAGTTGACTATAGAGAGGAGTTTTGTCCTGCACAGGATCCAGGCTCAACAGCCCACTGTTATGGAGAGGATGGTTCTCAGATGGCTTGCCTACCAGATTGCTCAGACGTTCCAGCTCACTGAAAAATAAACAGGTAAAGCAATAAACCTGGGTCCAACGAAACTCCAGGGTTTAGCCAACCAGAACAAAGGCTGTTCTTCAAAATGTCCATCAGAAGTCTCTTAAGAAACACTGTGAAAGGTTAAGATCTCCGACAATCAAGAAAACCCTTAAGTGGGAGCTTATCTTATTTTAAAACCGAGCTCTCTGGTGCCGTTCTAAAGGAGGAAAAAAGTTAAGAGCACTGGAAGCGGGAAGACTCCTAAAGTCAGGATGTAACAACCCAAATTATTCTCAGGGTGGGGAGGGCGACTTTCTGGAATTTTGAAATGTGGTATAACATCGCTTCTCACGAAGAGTTTCCAGACCCACATACAGATCATTACATTTGGCAGAACAGCAAGTACCTGAATAGATGATTATTTATCATCCACATAGGGACAGACTGGTACACGGTACTTCACAGAGGGTAAAACTTAACAAAACAAAGAAGAGATAAAACAAACAAACGGAATGGGAAGACACCCCAGAGGGGGCTGTGTCAAACAAACATACTTCAGTCTAGCAGGAAAACTCTAGAGAAGCTGGGGAAAGGGAGCCAACAGCAAAAGCACATTCCAGGAGCATGTTCTGTGAGGCCAGTCTCAAACTGTCAACAAAAGACTCTCTAGGAACAGCTTCTCATGCCACACTCATTTTGGAATTTTCAGCCACCTTCTTCTTGGCACTACTGCACAAAGATTTAAAAAGGCGACAGGGTACTATAAGCTTTCTAGAAGGGTAGAGGGTTGTGAGATCCTGAACATTACCCAAGGGAGGAAACGGAAGAGAGCAGAGAAGAGCCACTGCATCCCCTCAAGCAGGGAAAAGTATTAGCTGGCAGTGCGCCAGAGAACAGCAAGTGAATGTGGGAGTTGAGGAGGGGTGTGTGATTTCCTGGCTTTCCACCAAAAAAGAATAGCAACTACTTAGGGGAAAAAAAAAATCAAAAGAGGCACCACCCATCATTTGGTCACCACCTCCTCCATCCTACCTCCGCCTTCCATCTGGTTACTAAGGAGACCAAGTTGGGGGGAGGGGGAATCCATCCATTCCAGAAATTGCAGGATGACTATCTTAGCAAATGCCTTTCCCTGCTAAGGTCAGTTCTGAGAAGTAAAAGGCAAAAATCCTGGAACTCCAACCTCCCCGAGAAAGGGCTGACTCTCTTAAGGAAGGGAAGACAAGTTTAGAACCTAACCAGCTAAAGAGTTCCTACAACCTGATGGGCATCTCACAAACACCCTCTCACTTATTTCTTCCGGACCACTTAGAAAGTAGAAGAAAGTGACTTGTAAGAACGAGAAAGAAATATACAATCCTTAACCCTAAAGGATTGCAAATTAATATGGGGGGGAGGGGGCTAAACATAAGTGATCAAACCTGAGATGAGGTCTCTCTAGAGGAGGAAACAGAACAGGGGCGGAGTGGGAGTGGAATTCTGATCGGTTCCGGAGGGGGCAGGGGAGAGGGAAAGAGCAAGTCCTGTTTTATCAAGTTTGGGTCTGGAGTAGTGTGAAACTGATGAATTCCAGGTGCAGAGGCGAGGAACTGGTGCTCCAGGGACCAAGTGCACTTGGGTTTGGGGCAGCGCTGGGCGGGTCCTGTTTGGTACTATTCGATCAGACACGCCGGGGCACCGAAGGCCTAACAGGTGAGAAACCTGCCAGGCGGAGACGAGAAGTGGAAGTGCACGGGAAAAGCGCGTCTCCTCGTCAGGAACAGAACGACCCCACGGCAGGTGCGGGGCGGCGGGAGACAGCCAGGACTAGGAGGCCAAGAGAAGAGAGACGGGAAAGCGGGGGTGGGAGACGAGGTGTCCCTGAGGAACAGGCATGGGCTTGGAAGGGAGGGGCAGAGAGCAAGCGAGCTAGGAACTGAGAGCGGCCCCTGGCTAGGAAGACTAAGACTCGCGCGGGGTCGGGGCAGGGTGGGCGCCCGGAGGGTCCCCGACGCCGGCCCCTTCAGCCGGTACCTACTTGAGGTCCCGGTTGACCGAATGCAAGTTGTCCTGGAAGTGCGCAATGAAGGCCTTCTCCCGGCCCTCCAGCGTCTCCTTGTTCCGCATGCCATCCTTCAGGCAGTCGAACACCCTGCTCACGCTGGAGCGCAGCGCCTGGATGGCACTGATAGCCTGGGCAAAGGCCTCCAGGTTCACTCCGACACTTAGCATGTCCGCCATGTTGCCGCCGCCACAGCGGGCTCTCCAAAATCGGCCTCGCTCACTAAAGGCTGCGCTCGCTGATGACGCAGACCCCCGAAGGCCTCTGGGAAATGTAGTTCTCGCGGGGACGGGCTGCCCAGGGGGTCAGTGCAGACGCAGCCCGAAAGAGGGTTTCCACTCAAGTGAGCGAAGGAGCAGGCGGGAAAGCGATCGCTTAAATTTGGGGAAGTCAGGCTGCATTCTCGGTTTTCTTAATGGTGAGAAGTTACTACAGAAAGTTCCCGCGTTTCCCCAACCTTGAGTTCTTGGAAATACTAGGGAAAAGAATTGCTCAGAGCAGAAAAGTGGCCATGGAGCAATGGATTAAGACCCATTGGATAAAATGAGTCCATACTGTTAGATAAATGAGAGGGAAGGGAGATTTTTTCCCTACGGCAGAATGCCAGCGGATAGAAGTAGAAGAAATGATAGAATGAAAATTACCATTTGGCAACCATTAGAAGAATAATTGCTTCGGGTAGGAGTCAAGGAATGCTGAAACCGGTGGGTGGAAGTGTGAGGAGTCACTGGATATTTGCATAGTCTCCAAGTATCATCCCACAAGACGCTCATTAATTAAGAAGAGTAAAATAATGACCCAGCAACTCCACTTCTGGTTATATACTCAAAAGAAAGGAAAGCAGGGACTGAAACAGGTACTTGTTCCCTCAAGTTTATAGCCGCATTATTCACAATATCCAAAAGGCTGAAGCAGCTCATGTCCGTCATGGAATAAATTCATAAACAACGTGTGGTATATACAGCAAGGGGATATCTGTCCAGCATTCAAACGGAAGGAAATTCTGACACCGGTTACAACGTGGTGAACCTTGAGGACATTATGCTGAGTGAAATAGACAGTCAGATAAAGACAAACACCATATGATTCCACTGATGAGATACCTAGGTAGGCAAACCCTAGAGACAGAGAGTAGAATGGTGGGTGCCAGGGGCTGGGGGAAGGGGAGAATGAGGAGTTAGTGTTCAATCAGCAGAGAGTTTCAGTTCAAGAAGATGAAAAATTTCCGTGGATGGTGGTGGTGGTTGAATAGCAACGTGAAAGCCCTCAATGCTGCAGGACGAGACGCTTAAAAATGGTTAAATGGTAAATTTTATGTTGTGTGTATTTTACCATAATTCTTGTTTTTTTTTTAATTCAGTAATGTTAAAGAGGGGGGTCCTATTGACTTCACAGTGGAGCGACCTGGCAGACACCACCCCAGGTTGACCTTACTGTGGTAGGACAAACCGTCTCCCGACACAATGCACAGAGAAAAGTGCAACATGAATTCTGTGATATTCCTGCCAAAAATGGGAAACCAAAATCTGATCAGGATGTGAGATAAACTCGAAGACATTTGACAAAACGACCGACCTATACTTTTCCACAAAACATCCATGTCATGGAAGACAAAGAAGCATGTGACCTGGGACTCTCTTTGCTGACATCATGGAGACCATTTGTGAGATCTGAATAAGGTCTGTGGGTTAGTTCATAGTATTTTAATATGTCGCTGATGATTTCATGATTTTGATCACTCAACTGTGGTTATGAGAGAGGTCATCCTTGTTTGGGGGAAGATACCTTAAAGGCATAAAACAGCATAATTTATGAAAGCATCTCTATGAAAAAGAAAATAGTATGAAGATATTTATTTATAGAGAGAAGTACAGAGCCAATGTGGTAAGATATTAACAATTATGGAATCTGGGGGAAGGGTATACAGGAATAGTTTGTACTATTCTTGCAACTATCAGTCTGAAATGACGTCAAGATTAGTTGTTGTAAACAGAGGTCAATAAAGGGCATGGAAAGTGTAAACATGGTCTAAGTGGTAAGAGAAATTTTCAATTTTGCCAGGCTGTCCTGACCAGCAATGTGAAATTGTGGAGTTCACCTCAAACCCACTTCCTTAGTACATCTCCACTCTTCCTTCTCCAAGCTCACTCCTCCCTGGCCCCGCCCCCACACCACCTCAATTCAAATTCTCTAGTTGTGGAGCAGGAAAGAAACTCTCCTCCAAAACTGGACCCTGACGGTGCTCTCCATGAGTGTTTAGACACTATTTAGATGGACGAATAGTTCCGGGAGAAAATTAAAAGTTGGGGGCGGGGGGCGTTCATTGTCTTGGGCTTACATCATAGCTTTCATTTCCTGACATCTACACCACCTTCAAGCATTGCCATTGACAGCTTTTCCTAAGGAGGGGTAAGAGATAGGAGAAACTTCCAGCTGTGGAACTCTTGACAAGTCCCAGAACTCCCTGATCTTCGGTTTTCTCATCTGTGAAATAGAACTAGGAATCATGCCCATCTTTATTAAATAGCTGTGAGGTTCAATAACAACATGAAGGCAAAGCTTTTGAAATAATGCCTGAAAAGTAATAAATACTCCAGAAGATTGTAGCTGTCAGGAGAATGTGCTGGGAGAGCCTCCCGTGGGCCTGTGAGCCAGGCTTCTATCTCCTCTTGAGGACACTGCTCAGAATCCGGCAAGGATGTACAATGTGTCTATTGGGTCAAATATCTCTAGTGACATGACCATGCTGCTAAGAGCTTGTCCTTTACCTGTGTCCTATAATTCACTATTTCTTGGTGGCCTTTTTTTTTTTTTTTTAATCTCCTTTGGAGTACAGGGTTTTGGCTTTTGTTTTTAAAGATTTTTGGAGAAAATCCTCTTTTAGCTTCGTAAATGAAGGGAAATATCGGTGTCTGTTGGCTTCTCTTGATTTTGGCTTCCCTTGTAGTTTGTTCATCCCTTGGAGGGGGAGATTAGAGAAGGCAAACTCTATTATTGTGGTTATGTACCTTACTGGGAATCCCTGAAGGCTTAGAGAATGTGACCCTGGCTGCATACTTTGTCCCCAAGAAAAAAATGTGCCAGTCTACCTCTGCCCACACCAATATGTACTTACCAACCCAAGATTTTGCATATAATTTCCAAGGGTTCATAGCCTCCCTAAAGTCCAAACATGGACCTCTGGTAAGAATCATGTTCTAAGGCAAACACCATGGGGGGATGGCCCACAGCTAGCTTGTAGCCAGCAAGTCTCCAGGGCCTGGGGCACAATAGATGCTCAGTGTAAGTTTTTGGAAGCAAAGAATTAACACGATATATTATGTTTGCTTCTTGGATCTTCCCTCCAAATTACTTCATCTCTTTGTATACTCAGATATCTCTCCCCGCTGCTCAGCCCACCTCCCCCGCCCACCCTCTCCCTCTCCACCCCCCACACAATAAGATTGTCCTTTGTCTTACTCTCTGATTCAGTGGTTTAGATACTGATTGGAGCTATAAAGTACCAAATGCTCCACTCCCACAGTCATTAGTTTTCAGGATTTCTCTCTGGTTCCCCTCTTCTGGGAAACTCAGAAATTGATCTGTGGAAATGCACATTTCCCCCTGAACCTAGTAAGGAGTCTTTCATCACAGCAACAGAAAACTTTTGGAAGGGAATGGACAGAGTTTCTCTAAGGTGCTGTAAATCCTTGAGAATGCTGGCACATATATGCTTGCATCTGCGTGTGTTTGTGGGATATAAATTAGTTTAAAAGGAGTTCATTTCGAGCAATATCAGATTTTAATTATTGTGATCTTATGTTTGGGTAAAAGGCAGCACCCTGCTGCTAATATCTTCCAAAATGAACAAGCCATTAGCTTGGTGCTATCAGCTCAAGAGTATTAGAATGAACAATCAGAATTAAAGTTGTCAGTATTTAATTAAAATATGCTGCAACTCCCATCATATTCAGAGAGCATGTGGTTTAAGCATTCAGACCAAGAAAGCACCCTCATCAATTAATAATTATTAAGGATTTACTAGATGCAGAACACTGCATTGGATAGCCGGGCAGAATGTCACCAGATAGATTTAAACCCAAATCTGCCTTGGATAAGCCAGACGTAACTAAGCCACCTGTCGTAATCAGTGTGGCATCATGCTTAAGACCTTGGGGGTTGCTCCGAGGATTAAATTGAGGCAGCATACAGTTCTAGGGGACATAGTAGGCATGCGAGTTAGTCATTCAACAAATATAGATATTGGATGTGCTCGACATTTTGTTAAACAGCTGGGGAGCTGGTGGTAAAACCAGGCGCAGTCTAGCCCTGACAAATGTCACTGCAAATATTTGAAGTGGATTACGTGTTCCTTCACATTCACCTGAAGGCTCACTGCATCCCTGAGTTTTAAATTGTTTAGAGTCAAGTTCATTAAAATTAATCTAATGCAAGTATGGTTGAGAAACTTCCTTTGATCTCTTCTGAACCCACCCCACCCTGCCCCTGACTCCTGTTTTCCTCTTATCTTGCCTCTTGTGGTTTTAGCATGATGAGGACGGTGATCAAATGATCCCAAAGACAGAGGATCCTGGAGAGCAGGAAATCAGCCTAGACTGGTGTCCCCCCAACGAATGAGTTAACCCTTCTGAACCCCAGATCTCGCATCTAGAGAACAAGGAAGTAGGATCACCTCCAGAACTAACAATCCAGGAGGGGAAGATTAGGAGGAACGCGTTAGTAATTCAAAAAGGAGAAAAGGGAGAGGATCACTCCTTGTTAATTCTGGTCACAACACTGCACCAGAATTCCTGCACTCCAACTCATTCGTTACCCAGGGACACTCACTGAATAAAAGGATTAAATAAGGATCCCTGTGGAACTCGTTCCTGTTCTCATGGCGCTCACTCACAGCCTCGCCGGGGAGACAGACACAAATGGAATGTGAAACGCAGTGAGATTCAACGGCAAGATAAGAGACCTGCACACAGAATTTTGAAGTTCTTAGAGAAGGTGGTTACGCCATCCTCTGCACAGGGGAGGTCTGGGTCAAGCCTTCCAAGGAGACGAGGGGCTAAACAGGTGTGGTGGGGGATAGAGGTAAGGGAGCGCAATGGACAGTTTGAAGTGGGTTGTGCTGTGATTAGATCTGTGTTTGCGAAAGTACACCCTCTAGCCATGAAGAAAGTGGGCAGAGGTATCCAGGCTTAGAGGCAGAGACACCAGAAAGACAGGGACTATCTCCACCTGCAGAGAAGTCAACAATGGACCACACACGAGCCGTATTCTTCCCATCACAGGAAGCCAGGAGGTATTTTAAATATTTTAGTAAATTATTGATTGCCCATTTGGACGCTCACTTAATCAACCACCAAGCATGTTGTTAGGGACCTCCGCTTTCTCCCATGTTTATACGTAATTAAGCACAAAGCATCTCAGGGATGGACACTTTTACCAACACATTAGGCCAAATCAAAGTGGAACAAAACGCAGGTTGTTTGTTGAGCCTCTACCGCAGCCCATTTGAGGGAGGGATTGCCTTCTAATTCTATTACTGCGTTATGTGGATTGTGTGTTTTAATCAAGACTGACAATGGGCCGCTAGCGTCAGAAGCTACTAAGCGTGTAACCCTCACACAGAATGTGGGAGCAGAGGGCGGATGCCAGGCTTTCAGGTTCCCGGGGGGAAGCCCAGACAGATGGGCAGCCAGGGCAACACAAGATCCCTGTCTCAGGAGCTCTCATTAGCACCCCCTCCTCTTCCCAGGACTCCCCTCCAGCCTCACACCCCCTCCTCTAAGCCTCAGGTCAGACAACAAAAGAAGGCACCTCAGATTCCTGACAAAGAGACGACCCATTCCCCTTGGCGCTGGAGTCTGATTCTTTTTCGTGTGTTGCTTTATTTTACCTAATCACAAACACGTACTTTGAAATGTTGGAAACTATAGAGAAAACCTACATAGGAAAATAAGGTTATGCACAATTCCACCTCAACATTTTGGTTATTCTCACATATGCATTATTTTATAAAACTGGAACCCTACTGTATCATGACCTCTGTTGTTCATAGTATAGCCTAAATACATTTTCCTTTCATCTAATAGTCTTGTAAAACATGTCAAAGTCTCCCAAAGATTCCATTCAGTGGCTTTATGTAATTTCTTGAGTTCCTTATCGTTGACCGCCCAGTTTTTCCACGTGAAACTGTACAGCTATAGACACTCTAACTGTAAATCTTTGTGTGTAAAGTGAACACGTTCCCTGCAGGTGATGTCTGTCCCCCATGTGGTTGCAAATCACTTTGCCTGTTCAGGGATAGCAGGTGTGGAGGACAGCCTCACCAGTTCCCACCTTCTTAGTAACACCCGTCCATTCTTGGAAGGCAGTGGGGGGTAGAAGTGGAAAGAGCCCAAGCTTTGAAGGACAGACAGACACGTGTGTTCAAATCCCAGCTGTCCCCTTCCAAGGGATCCCACCGGAGAAGCGTTTGGCTGAAACTAACAATAGCATATGACATAAAGGTAGTTTAAAGAGAGAGGGTGGACGGGTTTCACATGAGAAGTGGTCAGGGGTACATAATACGGGGCTGCTACAATGGATCATCAGGGACCCACAGCTCTTTGTCAGTCTGCCCGAGTGCCCTTAGTTCCAGACTCATTTCTTTCACTTCAGTGTTGCAGGGTGGCTGGGTTCCAGCTCTGCATTTCAGGCAGGAAGAAGAAGGAAGGAGCAGACTTCTGCCTACACCTCATTGGCCAGAACAGGGTCACATGGCCACCTCTCACTGCAAAGGAGTCTGGGAACCTGAATTCCACCTCTCTCTCTCTCTCTCTCTCTCTCTCTCTCTTTTAAGATTTTATTTGTCCATTTGACAGATCACAAGCAGGCAGAGAGGCAGGCGGAGGAGGAGGGAAGCAGGCTCCCCGCTGAGCAAGGAGCCCGATGCCGGACTCGATCCCAGGACCCTGAGATCATGACCTGAGCCAAAGGCAGAAGCTTCACTGACTGAGCCACCCTGGTGCCCCAGAATGACTACTATTTTAAGAAGAAGGAAAGAAAATACATTTTGGTGGGGATGTGGAGAAACTGGAGCCCTGGTACCCTGAGGGTGGGGAGGTAAAATGGTGCAGCCACTGTGGGAAATAGGATGGTGTTGCCTCAGAAATCGAAAAAGAGAAGTGCTACATTGTTTAGCAATTCCACTCCAGGTATGCACTCAAACGAATCAAAAACAGGATCTCGAAAAGATATATGTACACCCGTGTTCATAGTAGCATTGTTCACAACAGCCAAATGGTAGAAGCAACCCCAATATCCATCAGTGGGTAAATGGTTAAGCAAGTGTTGACTATCTGTGCAGTAGAATATTATTTGGGCTCAAAAAAGGACCCGTACTACAACATAAGTGCCTGAAGTCATTATGCGCAGTGAAATAGGCTACGCCAGTCACAAAAAAGACAAATACCATCTAATTCTACTTACATGGGATACCGAGAGTAATCAAATCCAGAGTAGACGGTGGTTGCCAGGGGCTGAAGGAAGCGGAATGAGCAGTTAGTGTTTAATGGGCACAGAGTTTCAGTTTGGAAGATCATAAAGTTCTGGAGACGGATGGCGGTTGCACAACACTGTGGATGTACTTGATGCCCCTGAATTGGTGCGCTAAAAAACGACCACGATGGTCCATTTTGTTACGTGTATTTTGCCTTAACTGGAAGGAAAAGGTAAAGAGAAACAGGTCAAATTAATTTTAGTAATATAATTTATATAATAGGATATATCTGAACCATGACATTTCAGTATGAAAATTACTGAGATTTTCATTATTTTTTTTTGCCTGCTAAACCTCTGGAAATCTTCATGTATCTTACCCTACAGTGCATTTCAAATTGGACTAGGCACATTAGCTACCATTCAGCCCAGTAGCCACGTGTGGCCAGTAGCTACACTATTGGTGAGCACAGTCCTAAAATAAAGGCAGGCAAGGGAGAGGCATGAGTAGGAGCTAGAGGTTGGGTAAGGCAGCCTGACCCTTGGCTGAGTCCGTTAACCTCCCTGACCTGGGGAAGGGGCACCGACAGTGATAACAGCCAACTCCTCACGATGGACGCAAGAGTTGTGTTGGGTAATATCTGGAAAGCCCCCAGCGAGCTGCCAGGCACACAGTAGCTGCTCCTGTAAATAGCAATGATTGTTATTCATGTCTCCATGTTTCCATGGAGAATGGAGGTAACAATAAAAAAGGACATTATACAAACTGTTTCTTCAAAAGTTTGTAAGACAATAAGAGAGATGTGAATATGTTTTCTGGGGTTTTTTAAAAAAAGATTTATTTATTTTAGAGAGAGAGCACACTCCTGAGAGTAGGGGGAGGGACAGGTGGAGAAGAAGAAAAGCAGACTCCCCGGGTGGGGTTCGATCTCATAACCTTGAGACCAGGACCTGAGTCAAAATCAACGGTCAGACACCCAACAGACTGAGCCACCCAGGCACCTCAATTTTTGTGTGTGTGTGTTTTTTAGAGGTACGTATTTATGGGTAAAATAATGTGATATGTGAGTTTTGCTTCAAAATTATATGGGGGCACAGAGACAGATGGGGAAAGGATGAGAGAAGATTGGCGGTTAGGGCGACTGGGTGGGCTAGGTCAGTTGAATGTCCGACTCAGTTTGAACCGGGGGTCACAGTCTTGGGATCATAAGATCGATCCCTACATCAGGCTCCATGCCAGGCACAGAGTCTACTTGGGATTCTCTCTCTCTCTCTCCCTCTGCCCTTCGCCCCCCACCTCAATAAATACATAAACAAAATATTTTTTTAAAGAAGATAATTGTTGAAACTGGTGATGAGTTCGTAGGTTTCATTATATTGTTTGATGTTTTCCATCATGAAGTTTGTTTTGTTTTGTTTTCCAGAATGGATTGAAATTCAAGAGCTGTATGCTAATTGTTTTTAGTAAGTGTTCAATTACTGAAAGGTGATGACTTTTTTTTTTTGCTTTAAAATAACGGTTTTATTGGGATATAATTCACATACCTTAATACTCACCTTGTAAAGAACTGTTTCTAATATATCCAGAAAGTGGTGCAACCATCACCCACTATCTAATTCCAGAATATTTTCCACTCCCTTCAGTCCCCGGAGACCGCTAACGATTCTTGGTCTCTATGGACTTGCCTATTCTGCAAATCTCGTATAAATGGAATCGTACGATAAGTGGTCTTTTGTATCTGGCTTCTTTCACTGAGCATAATGTTTTCAAGGCTCACCCATGTTACAGATAATGGGTCAGCACTTCATTTCTCTTTATGGCTAAAGAAAATGAACGTACGGCATTTTGTTCATCCATTCAGCGGTTAGTGGACATTTGGGTGGCTTTCACTTTTTTGGTTACTGTGAATAATGCTGCTATAAATACATGTGTACAAGTTACTGTGTGGACGGATATATGCCTTCAGTCCTCTTGGATGTTTATCTAGGAGTGGAATTGCTGGGTCATGCGATAACTTTAAATTTTTGGAAAATTGCCAAAGTTTTCCACAGTGGCTACACCGTTTCATATCCCCACGAGCAATGTATGAGAACCATACTTTGTCCACATCCTCACCAATGCTTTTTATCATCTGTTTTTTTGATTATAGCCATCCTAGTGGGAACCAGACCCCCGCGGTTTGGACTTGCATCTCTCTTATGGCTAAAGATGTCTATTGGTTATTTGAATATCTTCTTTGGAGGAATGTCTATTCGATTCTTTGTTCATTTTTAAGTTGGGTCATTTGTCTTTTTTTTAAGATTTTATTTATTTATTTGACAGAGAGAGATCACAAGTAGGCAGAGAGGCAGGCAGAGAGAGAGGAAGGGAAGCAGTCTCCCTGCTGAGCAGAGAGCCCGATGCGGGACTCGATCCCAGGACCCTGAGATCATGACCTGAGCCGAAGGCAGCGGCTTAACCCACTGAGCCACCCAGGCGCCCGGGTCCTTTGTCTTTTTATTGTTGAGTTGTAAGAGGACTTTTTAAATAAATTTGAAATGGTGCCACACATTATAGTGAATGTAATTGAGCAAACAGTATGAGCTTTTTCGAGATATTCATATACTGTGCCTCACCCAAACTGCTAACAAGCACCCCAAATTGTTCTGGATATGACAGGTTTTCACCATGAAGAGCTATCATAAGCCAAAATACCTCCAAAGCCTTTCTGTTAAAGAGAACAGAGGGAGGAGGAGGAGGACGTCATTCCTTTTTATACCTGTGTTTTCTGTGCACCTGCTGGCATCTGGCTGAGTGATTGCTCTCCGGAAACTGCTCCTAACAAGAGAGATGTGAATGCAAGTCAGCTAAACCTCAAACTGCTGTAAGATCAAGGCCACCTGAATGATGGCCGGGGTTTGAAGAGAACTTATGGAAGGGAGAGTCACTTTCTCTGGGAGTCAGAAGGAACTCATGAGGGAGGTAGCATTAAAGTTAAGCCAGTCCCTCTCAAGCCCGTCTGCAGGATATCCTGAGATTGATATCTGCCAATCGAGCCTCAAACATTTATCCAATAAATATTGATGAATCAAACATGCCCGACGGATTCACCAAGGTCCATGGCTAAAGTCCCTGCCTCGCAGAGCCTACATTCTGGGGAAGAGAAACATGATAAAAAGCGTAGCTTTACCTGGAGCATGGCATGGAGTGAGAACAGTTAAGAAGGAAAGTACAGCAGGACGCGTGAACGGAGTGACAGGGAGGCGACCATTCTGACAAGTCGGTCTGATAAGATCTTTGGGGGTGAACTGGTGAACAAGGGGAGAAGCTGGGGGGATATCTGCAGGCAGAACATTCTCGCAGAGGGAGGGGAAAGGAGAAGTCAGGGGAGGGGCAAACATCAATTGTGGAGAGAACTCTTGGGCCATACATTGATGACGTGCCAACGCAGTCCCATGAGTCTTTGTTGGAGTCAACTCTCATTAATTCTGGAAAGTTCATTGGTATTTTTTTTTTCTCATGGTAAAAGAGAGGGAACAGGAAGGAGCTGAGGGGTCTTTTGACTGGGTGGTGTGGTCATCAAGACTTCCCCTTTGAGAGCCCCTGTGCCAATCAGATTCTAGTCTTCAGGACAGTCCACACCTCTGAAGAGAAGATACAGACGCAGAGCTTACGGAGGGAATAGAGTGTTTGGGTTTCGAATGAAATAGACAAAACATCGGGCTTCACAGATATTCAAGACATCTCCTTTGTCCTCTCCACTATGGACAGGTTCCCAAAATATCACCGTCTTTACTGTAGAGAACCTCCTCAATCGTCACATTCTTTCCTTAGAGGAGCTGGGCATCCGTAGCTTGGAGCGGAGAAGATGAGGGCAGGAGGAAGGTCATGACGGTGACCTTCAACTCACCTTCATGCAACCATGGGGAAGACTCCTTCTATGGCATATGGTGGCGATTACGAGAACCACTTGTGAGGGAGCTGTGGGGAGGAAGGTTTCACCGTCATGTTGCAAAGGGCTTCCTACAATGGGAAAGGCAGCGAGTTCCATGACTAACGGTATTCAGACAGAAAGTAAATGGATATTTATCTGAAACTCCATGCAAGGGAGTCTGGCATCGGTTGGAAGGTTGGAGCAGAGCCCCCCTTGGAGCTAAAATTCGATAATCCACTGTACTGTTTTCTAGGTGAAAATCAAGACCATTCATAAACGAGAAGCCCACAGAAGAACGTGAAGGTCACGAAGAGTGTGCCCTGAGTCTTTTTCCTCCAGTTGCACGCTGTTAAGGGGGCCTTAATTAAGCTTTCCCCTCCGGGCACAACCAGCCTGTTTGTGGTGAGTACAATATGCCGTCCCAGAATATGTCAAACTTCATTTGCAAAATATCAGACTGCTGTTTTTTTCCCAGAGCCAATCTGCAGAGTAATACGTTCAATAACTTTTGCTCTTTTTGCTCTCAAAGATAGGTCTCTTTTTGGAGCTGATAGCGCAATAAATGCGGAATCTGGTGCAAATTCCAATGGAAAGAAAAGACATTGTTATTTAAAGGCCAAATAACGGCTTAAAATTAGAGTTGCGAAGGATTGAGAAACAGCCGACTGCCCAGATGGCGCGCAGATAATTCACTTTGCACTCAGTCCGTTCACTCGCTAAAAAAAATACTTTTGACTCTGTTTCTCCTCAGATTGAAAGTTGCTGCCTGCTTTAAACATATGTGCTTCTCTCTTTAAATTTAGCTCTGAGTCATGTTGTATTACATTAGGAATTCAGCAGGCAGGCACTTGGAAAATGTACATCAATGCATTTATTTTTAAATCCTATAAAAATAAAAATATATATGTTTAAATATATTAGGCTGTATTTTTGCCCAATTTCAAAATGGTTGTTCTCCAGAACAGATTAGATAAAACAATAATAACGATGACACTGTAATTCTGGAGAGGATCGCAGAGCAGACCTGGCAAATCCCGGAGCACCTCGCCCCCGGCCCAGCCAAGCGCAGAATGCCGGATTGGTCGCTGAAAACCTCCGCCTCCACGGGGGGACCAGGCAGCTCCCTTCACAGCTGCAGGCCCGCCTGATGAAGATGCTCCGTCCTCCGCTGGGACAGGCAGAGGGGAAGAGCCTGGAGGGACACCTTTAGCTTCAGTGGCCGAGCTTGGGGGGTTTAGGGCCCAGACCCTCCAAGCTGAGCTCAAAACCTGTCCCTGCCCCTTCTCATCCATGTATCTTTGAAAAAGAGATGCGGCCTCCCTGTGCCTCAGTTTCCTTACCTGTGAACGGGATACTGGTTCCCATGTCACAGCATGGCTGGGAGGATGACCGGAGGTCATTCATCGGATGAACCCAGTCATTCGTGCAGTGCATGGTTATCAACGTCTAGGGGACAAAGTGCCAAATGAAAGGAAGAGACCCACGATCCCAACCCCACCCCCATGATGGCGACGGTCTAGTGCATAGAGAGGCATTAAAGGAATGATCACAGCCTCTGCTATTCAGTCAGAAGGATGACGAATGCCATGAGCAAGAATTGCAACGGGAGACCCATTCTGATCTGAAGGCTGAGGAGGACTTCAGCAAAGAAGTTAATGAACGTGAACCACTGGACGGTGCCTGGGCACAGAGTGGCTCCCTGTTCGCCTTCGTATGCTTTTCTCGTGGCATGTCTTTATTCTCTTACAGTTCTGGAGGCCACGTATCTGAGATTGGCTAAAATCCTGGTGTCCACAGGACTATGTGGCTTTTGGAGGCTCGAGAATCCATTCCCTCTCCTCTTCCAGCATCCCTGGGCTCGTGGCCCCTTCTCCCCCTTCAAAGCTCATCACATCACCTTTTTTGGACTTTGACACTCCCTTTTCACATCCCTCTTATAAGGACCCTTGTGATTATGCTACACCCACCTGGATAGTCCAGGATATTCTCCCTATCTTGAGGTCCTCAGCCTAGTCACCGCTCTGATGAACACGCTTACAAGTTTCAGGGATTAGGACACAGACATCTTTGGGACATCTTTCTCACTACCATTGTCCGGGAAGTTGAATATCCAAAATTAGGAGTTTGAGACCAAAAGCAAAGGGGAGGTGGGAGATTATCAAAGAAATAATACACGGCAATTTCCCAGAACTGTGGGGCACACACTTCCAGATTTAAAGGGCCCTCAGAGTGCCTGACACAGAAACAAAGCAAAAGCTTCCAAAGTGGGGCGCCTGGGTGGCTCTGTTGGTTAGACATCCGGCTCGAGGTTTCAGCTCAAGTCATGATCTCATGGTCATGAGATCAAGCCCCGAGTCAGGCCCTGTGCTGAGCGTGGAGTTTGCTTCAGATTCTCTCTCCCTCTTGCTCTCTCTCTCTCTAAAATAAATAAATAAAATCTTCTAAAAAGCAAACCCTCCAAAGAAAGAATGCTGCTCACAAAGGACCAGGTATCACATGCTGGTCTTTTTAACATTATATCTGGAAATTGGAAGATAGGGTATAGGACATTCATCATCCCAAGGAGAAAAAGATCCCAACCTGGAATTTATTGATAATTTTATCAGTCAAGCGTCAGTGTGGATTAAATATATTTCTGACACCTAGGTTCTCACCAAAGTTTCCTTCCGTGGACCTTTCTCAAGAAGCTCCTAGAGGCTATGCTTCATCAAAATGAGAGAGTATGTCATGGAAGTGGAAGACAGAGAATTCAGGACACAGCAGAAGGAACGGAGGAGAGAGGCAAAGTTACCCCAGAAAACCCCGACCACAGGCGTGCAGTGGGCTCAGCACAGCCGTCAGCCTCGACAGAGCAAGACCAGGACGCGGGCTTCAAAGTGAAACACGCAACTGATGGGTTCTAGAGGTTTTTATTATATTAACCAAAACTTTAGAGTTAGGATGGAGACTTTGGAGACGACTTCCAACAGTCGAGTAGAAAACTAAGCGACCAAAATTTTGCCAACTCTGAGAAATGTAAACTTGTACTGAAAGTGTAATCCCAGGGCATTGGGTGGTTGCGGCAAATGGTTTACATAAATCTTTGGATGGTAAAGAAGGAATATTGATGCACTGAGGGTCTGTGGTATTGAAGTGTGTGTGCGTGCGTGCATGTGTGTGTGTCTGTAAGAGAGCTAAACCCTCATTTTCTCCAGCAGGAAGTCAATTAAGTAAAAAAAAAATCAGGATAAAGCCAGGGGTGCCTGGGTGGCTCAGTGAGTTAAGCCTCTGCCTTCAGCTCAGGTCATGATCTCAGGGTCCTGGGATTGAGCCCCACACTGGGCTCTCTGCTCAGCAGGGAACCTGCTTCCCTTCCTCTCTCTGCCTGCCTCTCTGCCTACTTGTGATCTCTGTCTGTCAAATAAATAAATAAAATCTTTAAAAAAAATCAGGATAAAGCCAAAAGACTTGAAGGTGACTGCTTCTGGGGCAAAGGATCAGGGGTGGTGTGTGGGGTTATTTTTAATATAAGCCTTACAGTCTATTTAACTGTTTAAACTGTGTCCTGTACCACTTTAATAAAAAACATTTTAAACAATTTAAAAGGGAAAGAAGGGAAGGATGTCATCGTCCCCTGAACAAGGCGACAGGTGTTGGGGTCCAGGACACCCAGCCCCTCTGGCAGATCCAGGTTTTCTCCTACTCCAGCCTCATTAAGTCACAGGAGGGAGATGATCTCAGCAAAGGACATCAAACCTGTAGGAGGTCCGACAAGGCCAGAAGCCCTCCGCCTCCCTGCGTTCGCAGCGGCTGCTGCGGTGAGAGCAAGAGCAGTGGTGGACAGGGTCCTGAGAGCTGCAGGCACCTGTCACTGCCCACAGTCCTCCCAACAGACCTGGCGGCCCCGGGCCAGGGTCAGCTTGGGAGTGACATGGCTTCCAGGGGCAGACCTGGCTGTGCATTGTGGGGGGAGGGGGAGGGTGGGGCAGGCAGAGAGGGAGAGCTGGAGGCAGCTGGGGAGGTTAGTGGAAGGGGAATGGGGCTGTGCCCCGTGTTCCACCCGTGACACTCACTGGGAACGTGAATGCAGTCTGGTTTGCTCCAGCAGCCAGAGATTCTCTCTGTCTTCACTTCTCTGCTCCAGCCTCCAAATCAGGGAAGATCTCCAAGGAGGGAGGCAAACCCTGGCAGGAGGACTTAGGGAGCAGAAGGGAATGTTGCCCTCCATAGCAGCGAAGTGCCTGGGGCGCTCAGAGCCTCAGTCGGTTGAGCATCTGCGTTGGCTCAGGTCATGATCCCAGGGTCCTGGGATCGAGCCCCACATCGGGCGCCCAGCTCAGTGGGCAGCCTGCTTCTCCTTGTCCCTCTGCTGCTTGCTCTCGCTCTCTCTCAAATAAATAAATAAATGAGCAAGTAAACAAACAAACAAATATCTCTAAAAACAAAAGAACAAAGAGCTTGGCTGCTAAGAGGGCTACCCCAGGGATTCTAGAAAGACCCCAGGCCGACCTTGGTTGCACAGGCTTGGACACCCTGGAGCTGAGCACAGTCTCTCAGAAAAGCAGCGGGGTGTTTAAAGAATGTGGTCACTTCTGATTTAGGGACAGGAGAATGGCAGGTGGCCTTTACTGGTTTCCTCTGTCCCTCTTTTATAATATGTTGATAGTCACCACCAAATTATGTAAAACACATTTGAGATGTGCTGTCAGAACAGCCGAGCCCAGACTTCCGGTGCCTGCTGTTCTCAAAGGGAGAGGTGGAAAAGCCGTCTGGAAGTCCTCGAACACAACACGGACTAAGCCTGTTCCCCAAATTACCCCCAGAACTGAAACCCATGTGCTGTGGAACTAAATAGCCTTGCTGGTGAGTAACAGAAGTTATAAAGGTGTGTGGAGGGAGAGGGGACGTTATCTGTGGTCAGATGAGTTTGGAAAAGGCTGGACTCGATTTCTTAAAATGGACAGGAAATTGGGCTGCCTGGGTGGCTCAGTCGGTTAGGCATCTGCCTTCGGCTCAAGTCCCTCGCTGGGCTCCTCACTCAGTGGGGAGCCTGCTTCTCCCTCTGCCTGCCCCTCCCCTGCTTGTGTGCTCGTTCTCTCTTGCTCTCTCTCTCTCTGACAAATGAATAAATAAAATCTTTTAAAAATGGGCAGGAATGCTGAAAACTTCAACTTGCCTTGCAAATGTCCTAAAGAAGCTTATACCTGCGGACAGCTGCACGTTTTCAAGAAGCATCTCACGGGGTTAGAGTTCCATGGAACGCACTTTGGGAAATGCCGGCCAAGCATCTCAAGCACCTGGGGGTTAGAACACACATCTGTGCTTTGTTCCCCAACCCCCTGACTGGTGAGGCTGCCTTGAAATGGGTAAGGAGGGACTTTATCTTTTTCTCCTGCACCGGCCGTGTGGTTTCCAGTGTGCACACAAGATGTCATCATCTTTCATTGATTTCCTCAGACGTGGAGAAGATCCTTGGGAACAGGACCTTAGTGGACCCGATTCTTCTGGTTTTCTTGATTTCTTGGGTCTCTCTCTTCAATCCCTCACAAAATCATCATGAGAATTTTTAGTCCACACCACCCTGAAAGTCAGATTGTTTAGTTCCATATCTTAGTTCCAAAGAGCCAAGATTTACGTATCCATGAAGAAGAGTCCTCATGCTACGTTTCAGAAGGGCCTCTTTGTCTTTCTCAAAGGCAGAGAACCACAGACCCATTTCCAACAGAGGCTTCTCGTGCAGTAGTGGTGCCTTCAAGGGCATGAAAAGCTGCAGATAACAAAAGTGATCTCATGAGTGTCCCCTGGCCCATGTTCTCCAATGCCATTGACATTCCCCTAGGATCCTAAGGAGTCATTAATCCCATTTCCCTTCATT